TTGATGCCTTAATTTGGTTTTAATTTTTAGAATTGGTTCTTATAGCTGGCTATGTTTCTCTCTTTACAACTAAGGGGTTTAGCACAAACATTTCTGGCATGGTCTAGTTTTGGCACTGAATAGATATGGGTGCAGTTGGCATACGGATGCATATGTAGTTTTAGAGGTAAGGTGCACCTTCAAATTTTATAATGGTATATAATTTTGATGTAAAATGTTCTTAGGATTATCTCAAAATCTATTTTATATGTAATTATAAAATTTTAAATTTCAAAAAGGGCGTAGTTTCCATATAGACGCCTCCGTAGGTGTAGAGGTACGATGCATTTTAAATTTTATCATGGTATATAATTTTGATGTAAAATGTTGTTAGGATTATCTCAAAATCTATTTTTATATCTAATTATAAAATTTTTAATTTTAAATATGGTTAAAATCAAGTAAATCTATAAACATATGAAAATCTTGAAAATAGATGGTGTAGATAATATGTTGTAAAATGCACTATTTTTGAGACTTAAAATCTTTTTATTTTTTATAGCCATGCATCTCGATGTCGAGATGATCAATCATAGGGATTTTCAATATTAAAACTACCTTTTCAGATGTATTTTTGAGGGACATCTGTAGTTCTACATTGTAAGGTAGCATCCTTATATAAACTTTTTCAAAATCAAGTAGATCTATAAATATATGAAAATCTTGAAAATGGACGGTGTAGATAATAAGTTATAAAATGCACTATTTTTGAAATTTAAAACCTTTTTATTTTTCATACATCTCGATGTCAAGATGATCAATTAAAGGGTTTTTCAACATTAAAACTACCTTTTCCGATAGATTTTTGAGATGCATCCGTAATTCTACATTAGAAGGTTGCATCCTTATATAAACTTTTTCCAATAGATATCTATTCTCTTCTATAAGTTGTATACAATGAGACCATTTATCTTTGATATAAGAGGTCACAATTACTTACAACCAATGTGAAATCTAATAGCTTGGATGTATCACAAAGTTCAAGAAGAATTCTTTTGAACTTTGAGCCTGGTCAATGAAATAAATGCAGTCACCCAATTTCACATTCAATGGTCAAGATTAATTGTGGTGACTTTGTAACAAAGATAAATGGTCTCATTATATACTTTTGGTTCTCTTTATCCCTGTTCATTTAATTAAAATTAAAATGTTTCTTGTCATTATTGTTATGTATTTTTGAGTTAAAACGTTTTTGTTTAAAACATCTAATTCTGTTTATGGAAAGGGGTTATTTGCTTGGTTGATTAGCTTTGGGTCTAAGTCATTTATGGTTCATGATCATGGCTTAAGTTAGCAATACCACCCTATATTAGAAGTTGTAATTTACAGAAGTATCAGATGCTCATTCATCCAAGGTAAAGATAAGGCTGTGCCTTAAGATGGCATTCTACCTTTCTCGTAGAGATGGACCAGTATACAAAAACTCGGGCGAGCCAACTTGGCGGGTTGCAGTATCTCAAGGTGGTGGTCTGATTTTGGGATCTTAAAAAAATTATAAATAAAACCTAAAAAAATAAAAAAATTTATTTCTCGAATGTTTTTATATGCTTTTTATCATTTTGACAAAGATTGGAAAGTGTTTTGGCTTTAACTATTATTTTTTTTACAATTTTTTTGGATTATTTCTAAAATATCTCTGTCACAAATTGAATTATTTCATAATCTATTTTTCACTACTTTTTTTACCTCGTTCATATGTATTTTCTTTAATTTTACAGTAAATATATTTTTCCTTTTTCCTTTTTTTTTTTTGTTTTTTTTTTTTTTTTTTTAAGTCACTCTTTGGCTTGCCGGGACCTGGCCATTCACGTTTATTTACCTTTAGCAATGGCCATGCAAGTTAGGGAACATCATAGAGGGCATTATCAAACAGCAATTTATGAACAGTGGTGCGCATACTAATTCATGAACAATGATGCAATTCATGCAGGTGCGCATATTAATCCATCAACAGTGATGCTCAAACGGATGTGATCACAAAATTTGGTTTTAGAGCATTATGAACATTGCAATTCATAAACATAGCAAATCAATGTTGAAAAACACGGATCGATCACTTGGATCTCGCCAATCCCAAAAACCGGTCCCGGCTGGTGAACTGGTGATGTGGTTGAGAGAATCGGTCAAACATATTAAAAAAATGGTGGTCGTATTCGTATATATGGGGGGAATCAGAATAGTCCCCTAATTCTTAATCTGGATCCAACCATTCTGATCCAAATCGATATTTTCTGAAACCCTATGGCAAATAGACAAAGTAATATGCCCCCATCAACACACAGCTTTACCTTTGTGAAAAAAATCTGAAGTAATACATGTGTTGGTTGGGGCACGTGTGAAAAATATTTCTCAATGATAAATAGTTAAAAATTTGGGTTTAGAGCACAATGCACTTAATTGAGCCTAATTTTCTTTAAATTGATTTTAAAAGCATAGCGCACCTTCAAATAGTTTCGAAAGATGTCTTTCAATACCGAAAATCTTTGTGAGGGCTTGAAAATTTATTTTCACCTCCAATCATAAAATTTAAAATTTGAAAAGTAGTATAGATCAAGCAGATCTATGAACACTTGAAAATCTCGAAAATTGACCGTCCGAAAATGCATTACAAGATGCACAATTTCTAAGACTTGAAATCAATTTTTTCTCATGTCCATATACACCTTGAGGTCGATATGATTAATTTAAGGATTTTTAGGCTTCAAAATAACCTTGTTTATTAATTTTTTGAGGTGCACCCTAAATTGATTGTTTTGAGCCTCGGCTTTTAAAAGGGAAAATTTCATATAAAACCCTAATTCCTCATATTATTTTATTGTAGGCATTCATTATGTTTTTCTTTCAACGGCATAAGGAAACCCCTAAATATTTCACTGTACCCCCTCATCTATTATTTTCCTCTTTTATTGACTTTTGACCATAAAAATTAACCTCAACAAATCTTTTTATACCATTTCAATCCAAAAACTTTTTTAATACTATGTTTCCTTTTCCACCATTAAAAAAGTTTTTGAGTTGAAATGGTATAAAAATATTTTCTAGGGCTAATTTTTATGATCAAAAGTTAATAAAAAAATAAGATAAGAGATGAGGGGGTATGGTGAAATTTTTAAGGATTTTCTTATATCGTTTGAAAGAAAAACGGAAGGAGGATCTACCATAAAATAATATGAAGAACCAAGTTTCTATACGAAATTTGCCCTGAACTTGTTTTTCCCTTTAAAGAACTCTCTTTCCATTATGAAAGAAGATTGACTAATTTGTGCTGGATTTATTATGGGCTTTTTTTTTTTTGGCAAGTTCCATGGTTTGAAGCATGGTTATTAGGACCGGACAAGCCACTAAATTGGTGATGGGTTTTGTTCAATCAAAAATTTTTCAATAGCTGTTGAATTGGTTGGACCTGATTTTTTTTAAAAAAATTAAAAGGTACATAATGTCATAGCTATCAAGATTGCACCAAACCAGTAGTTCGACCGGTTGGACTGCTGACTAGTGTCCTGACCAATCTGGTTTAGGGTAAAAATTGGATATGATAAAAAACTAGTCAAAACCAATATTTGATTGGCTGATTTCAATTGTTTCAATAGGCCAAACAAAACGAGCAACTCTGTTATAATATAATACATATTTTTAAACTATTATTTATATTATTTTTTAATATTTTTAAATTCCAATCAAACTAATTCCACCGCCAGCCAAACTGGTTTCTATTGAATTGAACCCTTCGCCAGTTTGATGGTCAGTCCAATCCTAATACCACTTCTACAAATAGTAGCTAAAAAAGTATAAAATATATAAAAAAAAATTACCTAACTTTGTTTGACCAATCTAACACGCCAAAACGCACCGGTGTACTACCAAAACCTATGAAATATTAATTTTAACGAATTTTCCACTAAACCTAATTTTTACTTTGGATAAGGCTAACCAATCCAACTAGTTGAACTGGCCGATCTGACTAATAATTACAATTTAAAGGAAACTTTAACGTATACTATTCGGCATAGGACATGCCAAGGTTAATAAACTTTGATAGAAGCTGGCCTTATAGACTTAAAGAATCTTTGTATTTGACAAGAATAACCAAATGAAGCTCATTCATCAACATCAAAATTTTCAATATATATTGCTTGATCATTTGGTATGGGTTGTCAATGGAATGGCGGCTCTAGTTTAAGCGATCTAGCACGACTGAATATCCCAAAATGAAACTTTAGTTGATCTATAGTCCAAAAACCGATGTATCATGTATTTTTTAGCAGGCTTTCGTTAGAGGAAAAAGTTTATATAGTGGTGAAGCCCTAAATAATCAAATTAAGGCGCACCTCAAAAATTCACTAGAAGAGGTTTTTTCGATGCTCCAAAATCCTCAAATTGATCATCTTGACTTCAAGATGCATGAACATGATGATAAAAAATGGATTTCAAGTCTTGAAAATAATGCATATTGTAAATGCATTTTTAGGACCGTCAATTGTCAAGATTTTCAAGTGTTCATAAATATGCTTGATCTACACTATTTTTGAAGCTTTAATTTTTATAGTTAGAGATGAAAACAAATTTTTAGGCCATCACAAAGATTTCAATACCAAAACAATACCTTTTCCACTATTCAAAGGTGCGCCTTACTTTAATTGTTCAGTGCCTCAACGTTATACAAACCACACCCTTCATCAAAAGCTCCCCATATTTTGCACTTAAAAATGGGAGTTCAATTGACATTAAATATGCTTCATATTTAACAGAACCCATTGACACATTCTTATTACATGATCAATTCTCTCCCCCTTCCTTGAGCTCGATCCTAAAGAACCAACCCTACTCCAATCGATTAATTAAAGATTACAATGAATTAACTGGTGATTTTGGTGCCCCTTATTTCAATGGGCATCACAGAAAGCATTTGGTATAAATTTTGAAGAGAACATCCAAAAGATAAAAACAAAAAAAAAATAAAATAAAATAATAATACATTGTTATTTGATAATATGGTAGTAAAAAAATCAACAAAAGAATGATAATTTATCATCATACACTTGCACTTACAAGGAGGGGGGGGACCTAGGGCTCAAGCCCATAACATCAAATGAAAGGCGTTGAAGGGAAGAAGTCCAAGGGCCAAAAGAATGGCACATGTTCATCTCACAAGTGCCCTTATTAGTGGGCAGGGGATCGAGGGCCTAACTCATATGACAGGCTCTTAATGTGGGTTCAAACCCTACTTATAGAAAAGGTAAAGCATACTATAATTCCATGGTGTATGAGAATTGTAATTTGTTTGCCCACCATCATCTGGTCAATGGATAAATGGAGATGGGAAAGGCTAGTGTTCACCATTGGAGTATTTTTTATGATATGTCTCACTCTGGCTCCATCACCATCACCATCCATCTATTGATAGGGCAGTGACCATGATTTATGCATAGCCCATGGATCATAGTAAGATTTCCAATTAAAATAAAGTGCACCTTAGGATTGTCCATGGCTCTCCTGTGAGGGCCCTAGCTCTGCTCGAACACGGCGTGCCAATCGCGACAGCACAACATCTATGGCATCCTGGAAGCCCGGATCGCCGGCATCGGGGCGTGCATAAGTGATCCTGGGGATCAAGTCGATCACTGTGCTCCTCATTCTTGCGACCCGAGCCTTTGGGATCCTCATCAGTTGTTCTTCGATTCTACCGACCTTCTCTGGAGGAATGTACACGGAGTAACCCCCAATCTGCTCCGGCAGGTACCATTGATATTGCGTATACGCCGTGTGCGGTGAGAAGAAAACCGGGATGCATCCCGACAAAATCGAATCGAACACGGACCGGCGAGTGAAAGAGTCTCCTGGAGGCTGCAAACAAAACTCTGCAGTGGACAGAGCCCTGAGAACCTCCGGAGGCTCGTAGCATCCGCTCGCTCCAGGTCGGCACTGGAGGCTGAGACACCGACTGGAGATGTTGCACTGGCTGAATATATCAGCTCTCGCGGCAGCCTTCTCGAGACCCGGGGGCCGAGGCCCACCAACAAAGGCATACAGATGAGTCCTGGGTGCTTGTCTCACCTTTATCTGCCACTCCAGGATCTCGGAAAATTCAGCAGGATGGAAATAGGAGGGGTAGGGGACCCCTATCTGACGGCCAGGATGCCACGGATGGCGCTCGACGGTGAGGACCCACATATTTGCAAGAGGTGGGGTGAGGAGAAACCTATTGGCACCAAAATCGATCCCTTTGTCGTCTCTCATGAAATCCCACGAAGTTCTCCCGATTGCGACAAAGTGGTCCCTACCGCGGTGCCTCTTCCACATTGCCTGCTCGCTCAGGTACTCCACCAACTCTTCACCCAACCCGTCTCTCTTCCCCCAATTCTTCTCCCTAAACACGCTTGACGCGTGCAACCCACCGTAGAACGGGACGTAGAACAGAGTTGCCAAACCCGTGTCGTTCGTCCTACACACGTGCGACTCCACCCGTGCGTGCACCATCAAGTCCCCCAAGAACTGGTGGGTCGCGAACCAACTGGGCCCCATAGATTGGACCGGCTGCCCCATCCCCCTGTTTGCCACGTGCGGGCACATGTTGGTGTACATGCTCAGGTTCTCGCACCTGCGAAGGAGGTCGCCGTTAAACTTGGGAGGGAGGTCGTACACGTACACGAGGCCGTCCTTGCAGCCGTTTGTTGCCGTTTGTTGTCGGTGGTGTCCACTGTAAAGCCCCGAGAAATTGGTGGGTTTTTCCAGATTAAATAAATAGAAAATGAGGAAAAACCATAGCAGCAAGACTGAGATGAAGGTGAAGAGCTTGGTTTTTTTTGAGACGGTAAATGTCTCTTTGGGTTTCAATGCTTTTTCTCTAGAGGCCCCCATTGAAGTCATATGGAGTGAGACTGTGGAGATTGAAGTTATAAAGAGAGAGAGATCGACGCAGTACAAAATTACCGGCGAATAACACCCGGCAAAATAAATGCGGAGGAGGATTGGTTAAATTGGCGGAGATCTCCAATTTTGGAGACGAATTTAGCTTTGATTGGTAGGTGGGATTTGGGGATTGAAGTGATGAGAATGGTTTGGATGGATCAATGGAGAAGACATTTGTTAGGAGCTCTCAGTTCCACTCAGTGCATGTGAAGGCTAAATTGGAGAAGATGGGTCAGATTTGGAGGTGGTTTTCATTAAGCTGAATTGGGTTCTCAAAAGATAGGCCAAATTTGGAGTTGTTTTCTTCAGAGCTGCTCTTGGGTTGAAGCATATGACGAGTCAAGTGGACAAAAATGGAGGGATCTTTTGGTGGTTTTCAGGGTTCCAAACAAAATTGGTTTTTGCGATCAGACATTAAACACTGGTTATGTGGCTGAATCTTGAGAAGATGATCCAAAATTGGAGTTCTGGTGTCTCTAATGGGTTTCAAGGCTTCAACCAAAATGGGGTTCTTGAATTAACACAGAGAAGAAAAGAGGTTTTTGAATGGCCTGTTTCTCTACTTCCTCCATTTTAGTTGGGCAGAGAAGGATAGATAGAAGCATAAAAACATGGCCAAATTTGGGAAAGATCAGGCCAGGTCTTTTCTACAAGGGACGACTTGGAGCTCATTATGTTATATTGTAATTGCTACTTTTATTTGTGGGCTTGTAATTGAAGGAAGACTTGCTACGTGTTAGAATATGATGCACGTAAAAAGAAAAAAAAGAAGGAAATGATGTAACCATATAATGAATGGAAAGGTGCACTCACCAAACACGTTGAATCTCTGAAAGCTGCAACCCTGCAACTGCTCCGATTATTCTGAAAATCGTGACAAAACAAAATAATAATTAAATATGACAATAATAAAAATCAATGAAGAGTAGTGATTGCATTGCGACTTTAAGTTAACGTTTTCTTTTTCCTTTTTTTTTTCGTTATGGTAGTGATCAGAATGAGACTAAGATTCCTTGCTTCTTCTTCCTCCCGTCGTAGTAGTATTATTATTAATTTTTTTTTTTTGGAGTAGTTGTAATAGTACCCCTTATAATAATTGTTCTAAGAAATCTCCTCAATTTTCTATTTTATGCTGGTAATTCTGTTTTTTTTACTCTTTAAATTACTACCATTTTGGATTTTCAAGTTCTGAAATGATGAAAGTTATTTTATAAGTTATCACGATTCACTTCTTTTTTTAAAATTTTTTTTTTATCAAAATTGCCGCCACTTCGAATCTTCAATATTTAAAATTAAATTTTAGCTTAGATATAATATGGCATCAAATCTTAAAAATTCAAAATTGTTTTGAGAATAAAAGCAAATCAATGATCAAATCGTAAAATGGCTCTAACTTCCGATCTAAAGTAGTGGCAGTTTGATAATTAAAAAAACAAAGCGTAAACATGGAAAATAGAAAAAATTGAGGAAAAAAAATTAAATAATAATAATCTTGGGGAAATTTGCTAGGAGATTTATTTCTTTAATAGAAGTTACTTACAAAATAAGGATTTTAGGATTAATTCTGGTCACAATTTAGTGAAATTGAAAAAGCACTAAAAATTTTCTTTTAATATTTTTTACATATTATGCAATATATAGTCTAAGAAAAATGAGAATATTAAACTTTCTTTTAACCCATCCCATGTCCGGGTTGTCTTAAGTAGGAAGCATACGTAAAACTAGGTTAAAACTTATCATAAACCCTGAACCTACGTATTATGCAATATAACATTGGTGCAGTTTGCATATGGATGCATCCGTAGGTGTGGAGGTAAGGTGCACCTTCAAATTTTATCATGGTATACAAGTTTGATGTAAAATGTTCTTACGATTATCTCATAATCTAATTTTATATCTAATTATAATATTTTAAATTTAAAAAATAGTTAAAATAAAGTAGACCTATAACCATATGAAAAACTTGAAAATAAATGGTGTAGATAATACGTTATAAAATACACTATTATTAATACTTAATTTTTTTTTATTTTTTATAGTCATACATCTCGATGTCGAAATGATCAATAGTTTTTCAATATTAAAACTATCTTTCCTGATGGATTTTTGTGGGGCTACGATCCTTATATAAACTTTTTCCATTTTCCATATAACATTTCACCCAATTCTTTAGGAGAAAAACCTGGAACTCAACTAAATGTTTCAAAATATTAATTTAAAAAATAAACGGGCAGGTGAAAAGAATCAGCGGACCCCACGTGACGAAGGCCAATTGATTCTTCCTGAAAACATCAAAACATTATAATATTGTTGGAGTAAATAAAAAAGAAAATGGGTGATGTTTTCCGGAGGCTGTAAAATTGACTTTTGTATCGGTGACGACAAATCTGTGTTTGTGTGGCTTTCATAACTCAATTATTGTATTATGATTTAGCCTTTTCACTGATAAGTTGTTTGTGAACATTAGGTTATTTAATTACTCATTTGTTGGTTCGGTAAGGAGCTTTCTCGCCAAAATACGCTATTTAATTGCTTTTGTTTGGGTGGTTAAACCGAGATTCCAGCCTTTTTATATTAGTACTTTCGAGCAAACCCATTCATTTTTTTTTTTGAGACAAAGATTCAAAAATTTTATTTTTAACTATGAAAATAAATTACATCATTGAAAACAGCGTAGCACCACCCTGAACCAAAGAATCCATCAAAAAATTAGCTTCTCTATATAAATGGACAAATAATCCTATTTATTTATTTTCTTAATCTATATTTGATTAAGGTAGCCTTGTTGCCCTGTACCTAACCTTTTTGGACGGGTTTCAAACATGGAAAAGTACAGAACACAGCTTTTTATATTTGGTACAAAGTGGTTACAATTAATCTTGATCGATGTGAAATTGGGTGACTGCATTTATTTCATTGACGAAGCTCAAACTTCAAAAGAAATTTTCTCAAATTTTGTAACACACCCAAACAATCAAACTTCACATGAGATGATTATAAATAATTATGACCAATTTGTATAAATGGTCTCACTGTATACAATCCCTTCAAATATTTTTGTGTTTATAAATTTGTTTGCTTTGGTTTTAATTACTTTACTTTATTAGGCATCTCAACTTGATTTAGAGAGGAGAGGGACTGGATCAAATCCTAAAAGTCTCACATAGTGGGGTTATAACAGGGAGTTAATTCATTGTTATCAAGATCAAACCAAAGTTGATCTAACCAATTAGTTTTTTGGTTAACCTGGTCTTAGGCAAAAAATTGATTTTGGTCAAAAGTCCGTCAAGCATTATGTTTGATTGTTTTGGCCAATTGGACCCGCTTATTTTGACTAATAAGATTGACTAAATAATATTGGCTGAATTTGTTAATATATTTTATAGTTAGAAATTATTGTTTCTCATTTCTAGGGGATTGTAAACTATGAGACGAATCATTTTTTGTACAACGATGTCACAATCACTTTTTGCCATTGGATGTGAAATGCAATAGATGAAAATGTGTCATAATATTTGAAAAATTTTATTTTGTACTTTGAGCCTAAACAATGACATATCGTCAACTATCAGATTTCAAATATCTCAATCATCAGATTTCAAATATGATAGTCAACGATAACTGTTACTTGTTTTTGTTAAAAAATAAATGGTATTATGTACATTTCCTATTTTTAATTATTTTATAAGATTGGTCCAACTGGTTCCATCAGTAGGGGGACTAGTTTTGATAAATAAATCCCCGGACGAAATTGTAAAAGTGACTCTAATGCATGTGCAACGCTCATTCCCATAGAGTTTAAATGTAATTTGGTCTTTTAAAGTTAGGGTTTACTAGTTTTTCGTTCGGTAGAAACTTTTTCCATACGAAATATAGCATTGCTAGAGATTTACCTTCTTATTATTGTTTGGAATTCTGTAATGTTTGATAAATCGGCAGCCCGATCCGGATCGGGTATAGCTCAAGCTGTTTTGGATAAAAAAAAAAACGAGGTTCTTATTTTATTATTACGAGATTTTCATTTTATTATTAAAAAACCTCATTCCATAGAGTTTAAATGTAATTTGGACTTTTAAAGTTAGGGTTTACTAGTTTTTCGCTGGGTAGAAACTTTTTCCATACGGAATTTAGCATTGCTAGAGATTTACCTGGAATAGTGTAGAGTTTGGGAAATTGGTTGCCCGATCCGGATCGAGTCCAGCTCAAGCGGTTTCAGATCTAAGAAAAAACAAGGTTCTCATTTTATTATTACGAGATTTTCATTTTATTATTAAAAACATAAAACCGGGATTCACATCGCTAGGCTGATGTCAGCTTAAATCGTTCGTCCATTACCATTTTAAATCATTCGTCCATTACCATTTTATTATTATGTCATAGTAAAATTTGCTTGCGTGGACCCTGCACGTCACCCCACTTCGCTAGTTGGCATCAATGTTGTTGCAGCTCATTTTATATGGCTTTTACTTCCCACATCTCTTCGATGTGTGACAATTCTCATAGCCCAATTGTCTCATTGATTAATACTTAGGTAGAGATAATTGGGCCATCAATAAGAGGGATGTGCGTCCGACATTAAATTACATGATAAAAAAAAATATATATTAAAAATAATAATTGGGTGATAGAGCCCACCACCCTTATCTTTTACCAAAAAAATTTAAATTTACTTATCAAAAAATCAAAATCAAGAGACTAATACTATTAGACTGTTATCTCATGGGATTATTTCACTATATGACTAATATTAGGTGTAATAATTCTTAATTTTTTTTTTTTTTAAAAAAGAGAGAAACTTTTAATAAGTGATGGTTCGTATGAGCATGATGGTCCTTAGGGACCATCACTATTTTCAAAAAGCTTTTGCTGCCTTGCTCTTGCCATGTCCACTAAAGGACTTGGGCTTTAAGCGTTTAAAGTGTAATTTAATGGTAACTTAATAAAAAATATAATATAGTATCCTAAGAATTTAAATACAAGAGGCGAAGACTCCCACCTTAGAAAATTTTGAGATCTCTCTCTCTAGCCGAATTTTATCCGAAGCTCCCTCTCAAATATTTTAGGTAAGTGACTTCATTATCTTGAAAAATAATCCGTTCTTTTTAAAAATGAAATGAAATAATTATTTCTGCTTATTATCATGAATTTTAGGTGCGATAAATGTTATGTGCAAGTGAGCTCATTTATTTTAGAAAAATATTCTTTTTAATAAAATTATAATAATAGAATTTTAAATGCTGTAAATTC